CGCTGAGAGCTTGGGCGGGCCGGCGGTGGGCAAAAGTGTTGTGAGAGGGGGCTGCAGAGTGCGGGGGAGGGATTTCAACACAGGATGAGGAGGGGCCCTGGCGTGAATGGCTCAGAGATGCGATTCTGGCTGGGGCAGGGGGGTGGGAAGGTGCTGTGAGAGGGGGCTGCAGAGTGCGGGGGAGGGATTTCAACACAGGATGAGGAGGGGCCCTGGCGTGAATGGCTCAGAGATGCGATTCTGGCTGGGGCAGGTGGCTGAGGCACCAAATGGAGGCCCTGGCGGGGGCAGGGGGTGAGCAAAGTTTTTTTGGGGGGGTTGATTTTTAATTTTGACTTTTTTTTATCATCAGTGCTGGTCCCTCACGGACACACTCTCCGGACCTGCCCCTACATTGATAAGCTCAGGAAACTGAACTCCCCCTGATCTCCAGTCCAGGGTCAGTCATGGCTGCAGAGAGCCCTGTGGAAAGTCCCTGGGAAGAAGCAACGCGTCCTGTCTGTCTGGAGGATTTCACAGCCCCTGTCACTCTGGAGTGTGGGCACAATGTCCACCAGGATTGCCTCAGCCCTCCATGCAGAGACACTCCGCAGCAGGGACCCCTCCAGTCTAACAGAGAGCTGGTAAACGTGGTAGAACTAGCCAAGCGGCTGAGTTTCCAGGCAGCAAAGAGAGCAAGATCGGACGGGGTATGTGGGGAGCACCAGGGCTACGTCTAGACTGGCATGATTTTCCGGAAATGCTTTTAATGGAAAAGTTTTCCATTAAAAGCATTTTCGGAAAAGCGCATCTAGATTGGCACAGACGCTTTTCTGCAAAAGCACTTTTTGTGGAAAAGCGTCCGTGACCAATCTAGATGCGCTTTTCCGCAAAAAAGCCCCAATCGCCATTTTCGCGATCGGGGCTTTTTTGCGGAAAACAAATCTCAGCTGTCTACACTGGCCCTTTTGCACAAAAGGTTTGCGCGAAAGGGACTTTTGCCCAAACGGGAGCCGCATAGTATTTCTGCAAAAAGCACTGATTTCTTACAGTAGGAAGTCAGTCTGTCTGGAGGATTTCACAGCCCCTGTCACTCTGGAGTGTGGGCACAATTCCTGCCAGGCCCCCCTCAGCCCTCAGGGCAGAGACACTGAGCAGCAGGGACCCCTCCAGTCTAACAGGGGGCTGGCAAACGTGATCGAACTAGCCAAGCGGCTGAGTTTCCAGGCTCCCACGGTGCTGCCCATAAAGGAAGGTGCCCAGGAGTACAAGGTACAGAGTTGCTGTCCAGTGTGATGGGAAATAAGGTTGGGTTTTAATTACAGGCTAATTTCACCGACTGTCCCTTGACACAGGTGTGACATGGCTCTGTAAAGCCTTCATGGTACAAGAAAAATGAAATGTTCTGGCTGTGTGGCAACTTATATCAAGTCTTTACAGAGACCCAATGTGGGAAACATTTCTTTGAGACTCTGAATTGTGAGACCCAGCCTTCTCTGGTGACAGGAAGGGTTTTTGTACGAGTGTGATGGACCGGGCCGTGTCTGGGCACAGCTGAGGGCGTCCGCTCAGAGTGAATTGCTCAAATCTGGGGCTCCTTACAGCCCCCAGACTGGTGACCTCTCCAAACAGGCCACTAACCAGTCCCACAGAGCGCTTCAGCTGCCTGCCTGAAGCCTCACGAGCAAAACCCCTCCGACACCCCAGCAATATCCGTGCCCCAGATGGCCCCGGGCCTATACACAGGTGGGGGGTCCTAGCACCCAATCCCACCTACCCCGAACAAGTTCTGTCCAGTTCCAAGAAACCAGCCACTGATCCCTGGTCAATTTACCCTCTGGACCTTACCCACAAATCACGCTGGGCCAATCCTTTAGCATCTAACAACTAAAGGTTTATTAACATAAGAAAGAAAAGCATGAGAGTAAGGTTATTAAAGTACAGTACGTTACATGCACCGAATCTCCCAGTTCTCGATGCAGTCTCTAGCAAAGATGTTGCAGCTGCTGGTTTAAAAGTTCTTATTGCACATCCTAAGATCAGGATGGGTTCACAGGTCTTCCGGGCTCTTCGATCCCTGCAATGCTGCCTCCGGGATGAAGTGCTGAGCTGAGAACAAAAATGGCATCGACCACATGGCCTCTTTATACCTCCTTCCTGGCCTCTTCTTGTATGCAGCAAGTCACCTGGTCAGAGGCCAATCTCTATGTTCCCTGCTGGCTGCTCTCAGATGACAGCCCCCATTCTTTGGGTGTGTCCATAGCCCATTGAGAGCCATTGTTCCACAGGGCTTCGCTACTCAGCCTGTCCATAGCAATGCTTAACCACATTCAGAGAAATATTCAGCTTCCACACAGATTACAGATTCCTACCTACACACATGGACATTATATACTCACATAAATAGCGTACATAAGATCAACAAACGATAAGCTCCCATTCAATACCCCACATGGCTCCCTTTTATACCAATTTCTGGGGCCAACACCCCCACCTAGGGGTGCAGCAGCGATCTGGCTGCTTCCCTCCAATTCGGTAATGTGACGAGGGAAGATGTTAACAATCAGAGAAGTTTAGATCACAGGAGCTGCAGGCCAGTCTATGGGAGTGAGCTGCCTTGGGACTGGAGAAGAAGAGTTTACAAGCAGTTACTGATTGGATGAGAAGCAGTAAACATTTGTCATTTGCTTTGTAGACCTGCAATGGCATCTGGGCCCTGCACAACACCCATCAAGTGACAATCCCTGCCCTGAGCAGGTCGCAGTCTCGTTAGACAAACAATAGGAAGGGAAACGGAGCAGCAAGTTGCTCTGATCACCAAGCCCATCAGTGATAGAGTTTAGCCCAAACAGTGGTCTCTCCAGGCTCAGTCCACAGCTACACTAACCACCAGGCGACACTTCCTCCGCCTCTGAGCATCAGTGAATAATGATGAAGTGTGTCCCTTAGAAGGGAAAGATGGCTCGCTAGAGGCCGCATGCCCAGCAGGGAGAGGATGCTGAACTCCTGAGTTGCTCCATGAGGGTTTAAACTCAGATGCTGCAGCCAGTGCTAAAGGAGGTCACTGGGCTGTACAGCAGGGCTCCAGGCAGTGCAGGGCCATGCCAGTCACCACTGGAGTTTGACTGGGTTGTAGCAAGAGGTCAATCTGATTAACTGATGAGATAATGCTTATCGGTGCCAGTTACCAGATAAACTCTCCACCGTACCTGGCAGTGCTCACTTGCTCCTGGCAGCTAACATTAGTCTGCAGCTGCTGAGAGTCCCCGTTGGCTGGCAGCCCTTGTGGCCACCCCTGGCAGACCTCACGAGAGAGCCCCAACCTCAGGAGAGCCCACGTCTGCTACCGGCCCTGACTTCAGCAGGTTAAAAAGATTTTAACTGATTAAATTGTAGTCGGTTACATGATCGGTATTTTTAACCCTTTTTGCCTTCCTAATGCCCACTGGCATCATTCTTTACAAAGGTGCCACCACCAATCTGTCCCCCACCCTCACAGGCATCCTGCTGCATCTGCTGTCTCTTTCTCTAGGGACAAAGCCACGTCCAAGGCTTTGTGCCTACCAGACAGGAACAGAGCTCCACAAAAATGGGTCTGTGCTGCTTAAAGGCAGACAAATGGGCTCCCAAAATCTCATGGGGTTTGCCCTGGTGCTTATTTCTGTTTTCAGGAAAAATTGGAGGCCCACTTGAAGAGTCTGAGGAAAGAGAGAGAAAAGCTGCTGGGATGGAAAGTGACAGCAGAGGGGAAAAGCCAGGAGTGTCTGGTAAGTGCCTGTGGTTATGGACCGGTAGGGACTGGCAGTGGCAAGGCTGTGTTATGAAGTCAAGTCCTGTATGGTCTTAGAATCAGAGAGGTGGAAGAGACCTCAGGAGATCATCAAGTCCAGCCTCCTGCCCAAGGCAGGACCAATCACAAGTAAATCAACTAAGCCAGGGCTTTGTCAAGCCGAGACTTAAAATCCTCTAGGGATGGAGATTCCACCACCTCCCTAGGGAACTCATTCCAGTGCTTCACCACCCTCCTTGTGAAATAGTTTTCCCTAATATCCAACCTAGACTCTCCCACTACAACTTGAGACCATTGCTCCTGGTTCTGCCATCCGTCACTACTGAGAACAGCCTCTCTCCATCCTCTTTGCAACCTCCCTTCAGGAAGTTGCAGGCTGCTATCAAGTCCCCCCTCAGTCTTCTGCAGACTAAACAAACTCAAATCTCTCAGTCTTTCCTCATAGGTCATGTGCTCCAGCCCCCTCATTATTTTGGTTGCCCTCCCTGGACCCTCTCCAATGCATCCACATTCTTTCTATAGTGGAGGTCCCAGAACTGGACACAATACTCCAGATGTGGCCTCACCAGAGCCGAATAAATGGGAATAGTTACTTGTCTAGATCTGATGGCAATGCTCCTAATATAATCTAATATGCCATTAGCTTTCTTGGCTGCACGAGCACACTGTTGACTCATATCCAGCTTCTTAACCACTGTAGAACTGCTACTTAGCCATTTGGTGCCCAGCCTGTAACAATGCTTGGGATTCTTCCATCCCAAGTGAAGGACTCTACACTTGTCTTATTGAACCTCGTCTGATTTCTTTTGTCCCAATCTCCTAATCTGTCTAGGTCACTCTGTATCCTATCCCCATCCTCCAGCATATCTACCTTCTCCCTAGCTTAATGTCATCTGCAGACTTGCTGAGGGTCAGTCCATCCCCCCATTCAGGTCATTAATAAAGATGTTGAACAAAACTGGCCCTAGAACTGATCCTTGGAGCACTCTGCTAGAAAGTGGCCGCCAACCTGACATCGAGCCGTTGATCACTACCCATTTGGCCTGATAGTCTAGCCAGCTTTCTATCTGCCTTGCAGTCCATTTATTCTGTCCATACTCCCTTAACTTCCTGGAAAGAATATTATGGAAGACTGTATCAAAAGCTTTGTTAAAATCAAGGTATATTACGTCCACTGACTTTTCCTTTGTGAGTTTGGGCTTGCTTATGTTTCTCCTGGATCATGGATTGCTGGGTTAGATCAATGTGAAGACAGGCCCTGAGCTTCAATGTAAGAGGATGAGTTAGTCACAAGAACTGGACATTTTCCCAGAAATCCTCCCCAAGGGAATTGAACGTCCCTGTGAAGAGCTGTCTGCTGAGTCTACTCACTTTGTTCCTTTTTCTCCCTGGGTTTCTCTGTCAGGTTGCTGCTGAGTCGTGCCTCCTCCTGCTCTGGGTCTGAATTGCTAGTGCCCATAAAAAACAGAAGATGCTGCCCATGGCAGACATGGGGACATCCCTTTCAGAGGGATATGGGCCAAAGGAGATGCTGAGAGAGACGCCTCTGCCTAATATCCACAGAATAGAGTCAAATGTCATAAATTTTAGGGTTTTCCAAGAATTTGTCCTTGGTGCGCACTTATCTCCCCATGAAAGGGCCCCGGGCTCCATCCATGCCCCTGACCAGCCCTTTCCCTGTTTTCATACAGAAAGAGGCACAAACCAAGAGATTGAAGATTGTGGCCGAGTTTCAGCAGCTGCGGCAGTTCCTGGAGGAACAAGAGCGACTCCTGCTGGCCCAGCTGGAGAAGCTGGACGAGGAGATTAGGAGGCTCCAGACTGACACTGTTGGGAAACTCTCCACACAGATTTCTTGTCTCAGCAAGCGGATCAGTGAGCTGGAGGGGACATGTCAGAAGCCAGCGAGTGAATTCCTGCAGGTGAGACTGAGGGAGAAACATCCTCGCTCCCCACACAGGGAAGAGAGGCTCCTGAATAACAAGCGCTGGGGTCCAGCCATCAGATCTGGGTGTAACTCGGCGTGTGCATTGCTGCCATGCGAGTCACTGTTGTGCTTTGCAGAGTCACAGACACAGACCTATTAGAGATGGCAAAGCCCCATTAGCTCACGGAATCTATGGCCCTGGGGCCCAGTCAGGGCGTCTCTTCCTCATATTTGCAAAATGCCTTCCCTGTGTGTGTCCAGTGCAGCTGAGATTCTTTTCTGTCTCTTTTCTCTAGGATGTCAGAAACAGCTTGAGCAGGTAGGTGGCTCACACTCCTGTCATACTGCACAGCGCCGGGAAAGAGCTTGGAACTGATGTAAGCACCATATCTCCCCAGGGCTCTACAGCCAGATGTTGGATAGAAATGTGTCTGACTCACTTAATTCTGAGGCGCTCACCCTTGCACAGCAGACTCTGGAATTCCCCATTCAGGGTCACAGTCACCTCCCTGGGGACTGGCTGCCTCAGGACTGTGGAGCTGGAATATGGGTCTGTCACTACTGGGCACATTCAGCCCAGGGCAACAGGGACCCAGAGTCTGTCCCACCCGAGGGCTGTTTGGAGATCTGTGTGGAAGCAGCAGGGAAGGGAAAAGCTGGTGTCTCAGTCTGGTTCCTAGTGGGCAGATTCCTGCAGCCCTTCACCTGGGGAACCTCCTGTCCCTCATCACCTGTAGGCCAAAGAGTGAATTGGCCATTGAGACTCAATTCCACTTTTGTCCCCAACTGGTCTTTCCGGGCCAGAGGTGAAGAACAGCAATGGGACCTTTTGGGGGAAGGTTGCACAGCCATGGACTGTGTTGCTCCTACTCTCAGGCTGGGAGAATTGAAGGAATTCTAACTCCAGGCCTGTTAGAGCGAGACTCACTAGCCAGAACTTATCATCTGTAAATGAAATAGAATCACATGGAATTGTTTCTGTGCAGGTGTGAGACGGGGCAGTTCCAGCCGCCAGAGGTGAGTTCCCCAGAACTGGAAGAACAAGTCAATGCTTTCTCCCAGAAAACAATTGTGCTGTCAGAGACTCTGAGGGGATTCAAAGGTACCTAGAAGGGATGGAGTAGGGGAAAGTTGTTTAACTATTAGAAACTATTGAATCTCGCCTCTGAAGCCAACCTTCCCTTGCCTCCATTCCCATGTGGAGAATGACGGCCCCATCATGCTGCTCTCCTTAGAGGCACTGGGCGGATAGACCCAACTGCTTGCAAATAGAGCCAGGGGTTTGCAAACTCTGAGCCTCCCATTGTTGTCAGGGGATCAAAATAGGTAAAGTTAATGTCATGGCAACGTCTTCCCCCAGTGCAGCTTTAGGTTATGACAAGAGGTGGTAAGTGACTGAGAGAAACCAGGTGGGAGGGGATGAGGAGGGAAAAGTAAATCTCACTTTCAGTTTGTGTCTCCTGGGGTGGGGATGAGGCTGCAGAGATGTTGGCTCCATTGCTGGGAGGTGCCCAAGCGAGAGAGGACACGGAAGGTTTCAGACCTTTTCATACTAAACACTTGTGTGTGTATCTGTCTAGTTTCTGATACAAGTGAAAAGCAGAGTTCAGAATGGGGACATTATTATAAATAGGAGAGCCTGGAATCTCACCTCTCTTATCCCTTTCCCTTCCAGACACTCTCCCCTCTGCACTGGAGAGACCAAGAGGAAAATCCCTGTGAGTTTTCAGGAGATTCTTTAAATCAGAAAATTCCAGTGAAAACATCTTCATGGGCTTGTCATTAAAGTTACCAACCAAACCCAGCGACCATGGTGCACACAGCCCTAAATCTCAGCCACTGATCAGTGAGGACCCCCACAGGGCACTTCATGGGGACCTGCAGACACTTGAGAAACACTGATCTACAAGGTGTGATGCTAAAGGGATGAAGTTAAAGCACACAAGGGGCGGCACCTTCAGGCTCAGATTTCACTGCTCAGTTTCAATATGGGGTTGGTTTCAAACAAATAGGCTGAAAGGCTGAGAGCTGACTGGCTTCCACGGTATCAGTTTGTTCATGGTGAGAAACTGCTGGATACGCAAGGGCTCTTCGTTCTAGTGCAGGCCTGAGCAAAATACAGCCCATGGGCCGCATCCAGGTCGCCAGGCCATTTGATCCGGCCCACTGATGTTTGGCTAGCAATGGGCTACTTCCCACCTCCAAGCCACTCAGAAAGCAAAGGTGATCCCGGAGGTGAAGGGGGAAGGCTACAGGCACTGCTTCCACCCCCAGGACAATCTCATTGGCTGGTTTCTGGCCAGAAAGGAAGCACCTTGCCCCCTCCCCTTCGGCTCATAGTTATTCACACACCCACATGACTCTGCAGCCTGTGTGAGGGTTGGGCAGGCACCTACCCTGCCTCAGGAGGTGCTTGGCTGATGGCCGGGAGTCACTCAGGTAAGTCTCCTGGCCACAGCTTGCCTCTGGCACCCCAACCTAATCCTCTGCCCCCCACTCCTGCCCCCCACTCCACATACCCAAACTCTTTGTTCTCTTCCTGCATCTGTGGGGGAAATCTCGCTCCCCTGGGGTACAGAGCCCCCAGAAGGGTCTGAGGCTGGAGGTCAAAGCAGTGAGGCAGGAGAGAAACCTAGAAGGAAAACTTTATTATGCATGCATGCAGAGTTAGCAGCCAGCCCTGAGAGACAGTTTCAGGGATTTTTTATACAGTATGTTCAGACAGTAGTTGTTGATTGTTTTTCTTTAACATATTAAAGTCTCAGCAGAAGTACTCTGAGACGTTTCTGTTCACACCAGGAGTGCTAGAAGTAAGTTTTACAGAACAAAGGCACATGAGAGAGTTTACATGACAAATTGTGACAGACTAGGAGTCTTCATGAACTTGAGATAGGCATTGTAAGGGTCTTGATTAGAGTTAATTTGATTTCTCTCTGTTACAGGGAGAGGGGCCTGGAAAACTTTTAACCCTTACAGCAGTTTTGTTTTAGAGAGTTTTTATTTCCTGAACAGTCCCCCCTTTAGACACAATTGGAGTTATTTGATTTTTCTCCCACACATCCAAGTATGCAAGAAGCTCTTCATGGTCAGAAACCCTCAGCCCCTTATTTGTCCATTCAGCCGCTTCTCTAAATTAACTTTATCAGGACTCACTTGCACCCATGATGGCTGTCGGGGAAATCTCGCTCCCCTGGGGTACAGAGCCCCCAGAAGGGTCCGAGGCTGGAGGTCAAAGCAGTGAGGCAGGAGAGAAAACCAGAAGGAAAACTTTATTATGCATGCAGGCTGACAGCTACCAGAGTGAGCAGCAGCCACCAGAGACAGTTTCAGGGATTCTTTATACAGTATGTTCAGACAGTTTAGTTGTTGATTGTTTTCTTTAACATACCAAAGTCTCAGCAGAAGTACTCTAAGACGTTTCTGTTCACACCAGGAGTGCTAGAAGTAAGTTTTACAGAACACAGGCACATGAGAACGTGAGTGAGTAGTCTTACAAGGCAAACTGTGACAAAGATAAGAGTTTACATGACAATTTGTGACAGACTAGGAGTCTTTATGAACTTGAGATAGGCATTGTAAGGTTCATGTTCACATGTAATTTTTCCTTGTAGAATTATTAGGTAACTTTACAATCCAATGTAAAAGTATGTGGAAGCAGCTTTATTAATAAAATTAACTGTACAATACAGAAATAGTAACTCAGCATATCCTTAGGATATGAACAGTTTATTTTGGACATTTTTAGGTTTTTTTTTTTTTTTTTTTTTTTTTTTTTTTGGCTAGGATGAATTTTTATTTAAGAGGGAGGTTTTTTTTTATTAGTTGGGTAAATGACCCACTGCTTATTTCCTGGATTTAACCATACTTTACGATAGCAGGTGTTTTTTGGGATTTACCCCAGATTTTTTACCAGTGCCAATTTTGCTTTTAAAACACAATGGAAACATAATCCTTGATGGATGTAATGCTTGAGTAAGGGGAATCCCTGAGGCAATTAGATTTTTATGCCAAATTTGCCTGTTTCCCCCATGACTATGTACTCCTGGCACAGTGTAAAAGGCTTTTAGAACCTTTGATAAGCTGTTTACATATTCAACAGTTACTTGTATTGGTGAGGGACCCAACCTTCTGCAAGGCTTCCCAATAAGGGTGGGGAAAGTTATATACTATGGGTACTTTGACTACTAAAGAGGGAAAACAATTCTTACTCTATTATAGTATTTTAAATTTTTAAAGTAGAAAGGATAATAATAATAATATAGTAATTAGCTAGCACCTAGCAAAGCAGTTTTTTTAACTAAGCTTAATTAGTTAGTATTGTTTGGCTTGCCTTTGCAGGCACTTTTCGAGATTTCGTAGTTTCTTAGTTTACTTAATACTGGAAAGGATTTCCCTTTGTGAGAGCTACAGGGCGCCAGGCTCACCTGTAGGTCTTTTTTGGCACAGTCCTACCTCTCAGGTTGTACCTCGAAGCTTTTGGTGGAGGCTGGTTTGGTAACAGTCTGGTTTGAGAGTTTGCCGCCTTGGTCCGCTGAACCTCGTCCTCAGGTGATTTCTCCGGGGAGGGGTCCTGGGTTAATTAGCTTTGTTGTATCTGCAGTTCGGCATACATGACTTGTGTGGATCCACGAGGGGCACTTCTTTACCTTTACTGCTGTGTGGGTGACGAGCAGCAATTGGAACTGTTCTTCCCACCAGGCTGCCAGGCAATTCTTTCTGCGATGTTCCTTTACGAACACGTAGTCGCCTGGTTGGATGTTGTGGCATGGTACATCAGTAGGTACTGAGAGGGCTTCCTTCACCTGCAGGTGCAAGCTTTTCTAACTGTTATTTTATGTTGTTGTTTTTTGTGTGTGGCTGCTAGCCTGTGGGCCTTCTGCAACATTAAACTGCTTACAAATTACACATGAATTAGATACCCTTGCAGCTTCTAGGTGCATGCCTGGGCCATACCATTGTTTTGGGATCTGTGAGGCCACCCCCCTTTTGCTCATGTGTGTTATTTGATGAGACACCTGAGCAAGCTGCTGTGTGAGAGATCTTGGGGCGACTGGGCAGCCATCAGGTGCAACCATTGTTCCAGCTGGGGATAAGGAGCAGCCTGCTTTTTCCCAAAGGTTTTTCTTTGCAGGTTGAGCAGCTTGCTGTAGTTTTATTAGGTCCTGCAAAGAAACAGGGAGAGAAAGAGAGACCAGAATTTGAAAGGGAGCCAGAGGTTCATGTGCCACTGCATTAGCACTCCATTACCCAGAGAAACAGGATCAGTGGCACCTGTGTGGGCCAGGCAATGGGTAATAGAGAGGGATGTGGGTAGCTGAGTGGCATCAAGGAGTTGGGGGATAAGGGGACCATGAGAGATAGGGGAGCCAGAAGAGGTAAGGAAACCTCGTTGTTTCCAAATTTGTCTTGTGGCATGACAGACAGAGAAAGCATACTTTGAGTCAGTATAAATGGCAGCAGACTGTCTGGAAGCTAAAAGGCAAGCACAAATTAAAGCGATGAGCTCAGCAGCCTGAGCTGATTTGATTTTTGGAAGAGAAAAGGCCTCTAAAACATTATTATCTGAGACCACTGCATATCCAGCCTCTAGTTTACCAACTGAATTTTTTTTACATGAGCCATCAGTATACAGTACAAGATCTGCATTTTTCAGCAGTTGATTAGACAAATTTTGGCGAGGCTTCACACAGTGCTTAAGCAATTTTTCACAGTTATGGGTATGTGCTTCACAATCAGAGGGTAAAGGAGAAAGAGTAGCTGGGTTAAGTACATTACATCTTTGAATTACCACATTTGGGGAAGAGAGGATAACATTCTTATACCGGTTTTGCCTCTGAACAGACAGGTGCTGGGTGCGGTGTCGCTGTAAGAGAGCAGACACAGCATGAGGGACCTGTAAGATAATGCTGTGACCTAATGTGACAGGTTGGGCTTTTTCAAGTAATTTAACAGTAGCTGCAACTGCCTTCAGGCAAGGTGGGAACCCACGGGCTACTGAGTCCAGTGTTGCAGAAAAATAAGCTACTGGACGAGGTGTGGGTTCAAAGGGTTGACAGAGAACTCCAGCTGCAATTCCATCCTGTTCATGACAAAACAGAGTAAAGGTTTTACTATACTATGCTATAATTAGATAAGCCCAGAGTGGGGGGCTGTGAGAGAAGAGTTTTAAGGGAAAGGAAAGCAGATTCACATTTTGGGGACCACATTTTGGGGACTCAGGAGCTGAGTCTAAGAGTAGAATAGTAAGGGGTCTGGTGAGTTCAGAAAAATTAGGAATCCATTGTCTGCAATATTTTGCAGTACCCAGAAATTTGTGTACCTGACTTTGGTGAAAGGGTGAGGAATGGAAAGAACTTGTGAGATTCACTTAGGTGTTAACTGGCGGCCATCTCCTGAAAGTAAATGTCCTAAGTACTGAACTCTTTGTTTTACAAACTGCAATTTGGCTTTGGAAGCCTTGTGACCCTTTTTAGCAAGACACTTTAACACATGCAGAGTATTAGTCTTACATTCTTTCTCAGTTTTACTAGCAATTAGCACATTATTAACATACGGAACCAACACAGAACTGCAGGGAAGAGAGATAGAATTAAGGTCAGCTTTTTAAAAACTGAGAAATCAGAGTAGGGCTTTTACAATAACTTTGGGGAAAACATGTCCAGGTTAATTGATGACCCTGAAAGGAAAAGGCAAAGAGAAATTGGGAATTCTTATGCACTGGAATAGAAAAGAAGGCAGAACATAAATCTATTACAGAAAATCATTTAGAAGTGGGAGGAATAGAGGATAGAATAGTAACAGGGGTAGGTACTACTGGAAATCTAGGGGTTACAAACTTATTAATGGCTCTTAGGTCTTCTACAAATCCATAGATTTGCTTTTTTACAGGTAGTATAGGTGTATTACATGGTGAAGTTGTATAAACAAGTATCCCTTGTTCAAGGAGGGAAGAGATTCCAGGCTTAATGCCGTCTTGTGCCTTCCTAGACAATAGATACAGGGGTACCTATTGGGAAAGGCTTGTTGTGTCTGTATGTTATTTGCACTGGTGTTGCAGAGGCTAGCAACCCCACTTCATTCACATGGGCTGCCCACAATGTCTTTGGGACATCTGAGATGTTCAGGAGGGGTGTATGTCCTGAGGTTTTATCAGATTCCTCTGAGAGTAGTAATGCCATCAAATTTGGAGCCTGATAGGGGGAAAGGTTAACAAATATCCCTTCTTCTTTACAGAGAAGGTTTGCACCCAATTTATACAACAAGGTTTACAGGAGAACAGGGAGGTAACAGGAAAGAATGTTCAGCTGACAAGGGTCCAAAGCGGGGTGGGGGTGCAGATGGCACATCTGGGGAATCAAGCTGTTTTTTTAGAGTAGCCAATTTTTGCTGCAGCTTGTCAATAGAATTTTTTTGGATAGCCATAATGCTCAGATTTTTTTTTCTTACTGCTACATCCTCCCAGAGGCACCAATATTTCATCTGGTTAGGATGTTTTTCCTCGAGGAAAACTCTAAGATAAGCAAGCTTTTGTAAGTCAAAGCTCTAGTTGCCATTTATTCTGGGAATTCCCCTGAGTATAGCCATTCCAAATGCTTAATAATTTCTTAAGTCTCCTTAGTTTCAAACCTGCAGGCAATACCTAGCTGACTGATGATCCGAGACAAGGGAGTCCCAGGCTGTGAGAAACCTTTCCCCTCAGTCGGAGACAAACTTGAGGGAGCAATCTCATCCATGTTAGCACTGTCCTGTCCAAGGACAGCGCAGGAGCCCAACAGTACTACCCTCTCCAAGGATAGCACAGGTGTCCAGCAACACGACCCTCTCCAAGGATAGTGCGGGAGTCCACACAAACTGTCAGCTTCACTCACACTCCTTATGTGCTGGGGGAAACCACCCTTGCTTTTAGCAGCTGTTTAGTGACACTGCCAGCACCGGTGCGGCTACGGTCCCATTTCGGACTTCACTCACTCAAAACCAAGCGCTTGGACTCGCTACCAATCAGTCAGCAACACAACAACAAAATTCAACCCCTATTTGGCTATACCCAGTGTTTTCGTTTTAAATCTCCCTCAAGCCTCTTAACAAAAATTTTGGAGCAAAAGATGCCTCTTCCCCCAGCCGGTGATCCGAGACAAGGGAGTCCCAGGCTGTGAGAAACCTTTCCCCTCAGTCGGAGACAAACTTGAGGGAGCAATCTCATCCATGTTAGCACTGTCCTGTCCAAGGACAGCGCAGGAGCCCAACAGTACTACCCTCTCCAAGGATAGCACAGGTGTCCAGCAACACGACCCTCTCCAAGGATAGTGCGGGAGTCCACACAAACTGTCAGCTTCACTCACACTCCTTATGTGCTGGGGGAAACCACCCTTGCTTTTAGCAGCTGTTTAGTGACACTGCCAGCACCGGTGCGGCTACGGTCCCATTTCGGACTTCACTCACTCAAAACCAAGCGCTTGGACTCGCTACCAATCAGTCAGCAACACAACAACAAAATTCAACCCCTATTTGGCTATACCCAGTGTTTTCGTTTTAAATCTCCCTCAAGCCTCTTAACAAAAATTTTGGAGCAAAAGATGACTCTTACACCAGCCGGTCCAGCTGGTCACGAGAACAGGAAGGCAGACTGGGGGATTTTAAATGGATCCCTTACCCTCCAGATGCACGCTGTAGTCCGTTCCCATTCCCCGTCATCAGCCTTTCCAACTGGAGTTCCAAGCCATCCCACTTCTGACACCAAATTGTGGGGGAAATCTCGCTCCCCTGGGGTACAGAGCCCCCAGAAGGGTCCGAGGCTGGAGGTCAAAGCAGTGAGGCAGGAGAGAAACCTAGAAGGAAAACTTTATTATTCATGCATGCAGGCTGACCGGTACCAGAGTTAGCAGCCAGCCCTGAGAGACAGTTTCAGGGATTTTTTATACAGTATGTTCAGACAGTAGTTGTTGATTGTTTTTCTTTAACATATTAAAGTCTCAGCAGAAGTACTCTGAGACGTTTCTGTTCACACCAGGAGTTATGAGAGAGTTTACATGACAAATTATGACAGACTAGGAGTCTTCATGAACTTGAGATAGGCATTGTAAGGGTCTTGATTAGAGTTAATTTGATTTCTCTCTGTTACAGGGAGAGAGGCCTGGAAAACTTTTAACCCTTACAGCAGTTTTCTTTTAGAGAGTTTTTATTTCCTGAACAGTCCCCCCTTTAGACACAATTGGAGTTATTTGATTTTTCTCCCATACATCCAAGTATGCAGGAAGCTCTTCATGGTCAGAAACCCTCAGCCCCTTATTTGTCCATTCAGCCGCTTCTCTAAATTAACTTTACTTTAAATATCTCATAAGTAGTTGGCTAATCTAGTGCCCCAGATCACATCTGCCTCCTTAACCAAACTCCTTCCCAGACCCCTCTTTTCCTCCTGCATCCCAAACCCTCCCCCAACGCTCCCTTCTTCTCCCAGTGTTCATCCCATACCCTGTATTTCCTACTTAATGTCTTGGAAGAGTGCAGCTCTCAACCACTTTCCAAAATCTTGGAGTGCCCCTCCTCCCCATCAAAATGAATTGCCCACCCCGCTCTAGTTTTACAGAACAAAGGCACACAGAATTTCAGGCTAAAGAGGAGGCACAAATATTTGATGGGTAAGAGTCTGGGCAGAATTGGGTGTGGAAAGGATTAAAGCCCTTTTTGAAATGTCTCCAATTCCCCTTCTCCCCCTGCCAGGCTGCAGAACACCCATGTCTGACTCCAGCTCAGCTTCTGGCCTGCAGAGCCAGGGACAGGAAATGGCTCTGGCGGAGCCGGTGAGCTTCGAGGAGGTGGCTGTGTATTTCTCTGAGGAGGAATGGGCTCTGCTGGACCCGGGCCAGAGAGCCCTCTACAGGGATGTGATGCAGGAGAATTATGAGGCTGTGA